GGAAAGAAGGGAATGGAATTAATATGAGAAAATGAAAAAATGGAAACAAAGTCTTTGTAAATAGGGACGGATGGAGGGGTTGAAGGGAGGGGAGGGGAAAAGAGAAAAATGAGAACCAAGAGAGATTATGTAAAAGTGCAAATTTCTAATGAAAAATGTCATTATATTGCATACGTAAAATGTACCAATAAAATAAAATTTTAAAAAAACCAAGCAAACATGATGTTAAGGTAGTTTGAAGATGAAAATTTTATAACATGGTTTTACATAGACATTACAAATTGAGCAGAGGGAGAAAAATCTTTTTTTTTTTTCAAGTGCTTCAAGGCTGCTCTTTGGTTTCCAGCATTTTTATAAGAAATGACTTATCAGTGATTGTCTCATAAAAGGAACCAAAATTCCCTGATGACCTTACTGCTTAAGTGACTGATGAAGACCAGTCATTTTATATTATTTCTCAGTCACAGTCATTTGTACACGAGTTTCCAAAGTCAGTACTACAGCATAGACAGCTATCTGTGCTTGGAGAATGTCTATATCCCTTAAAACCTTGTTTATCAATGGGTGTATTGTGGTTTAGCATTTTCTAGTGTTGTTTCAAGATTCCAAGAAATTCATAACATGTCTTTGATTAACTAGCTTTCTCACTTTAAATGTGTGGAAATATTGTATTTTGTCAAGGTATTTCCCAGGGTTGGTAGAATGAGAGCATTTAATACAGTCACAGGTTTGCCAGATAAGAGTATTTATTAAAGCAGGTTGAGATGATCAGAGCTGGAGGTTCACACCAGAACAACCTAGAGCTGTACATTAGACTGAATTCTGAAGGAAAACAGTCGCTTTCCCTAACTCTTAGGAAACCCTGTTGGCTGAAACTTGGGTGTGGCTTGTGTATAACAAATCAACTCCAATGTGTATGTAACGAGACTATAATAAGATTCCCTTTGTCTAATACAAGTAATATATCTATAAAGACCTGAAGAACACCCCCAAGTGTCAAAGAGCATTCTAGATCCTGAAAACATGGACTTGCCAGATTGCTGAGTTATGATGGTTAAGGTGGAAGTAGAAACTCTAGCACGTAGGTATGGGAAAATAGTATGACATGTTTCTCTCCATCACCTAAAAAAGACTGAGAGTGTAAGGATTTGGACAAATAATTTATCTGAGATTTTCCAAGAATTATATCCATAAGACTAAGACATTGTAATCTATGTCCAGACAGAGAAATCAGAACAAATGAAACTAATATTATTAGTTATAACAGAGAGATAATTTATAAATGATTGTGCTACAGGAAGATTCTAAAAATAGGTTTTCTAGTAGCAGAGAAGGTGAATCTTTCTGTTCTTTTCTAAAATCAAGAAAGAATGCATGATACACTTGTATGAGCCTCTCCGATTTAACTGGGGTTGTAATAACGAAATATAGACTTGCTGGCTTAAGCAATAAACATTTATTTCTATCAGTTTTGGAGGCTGGGAAATTCAAGATTTTAAGGTTCTGGCAGAGCTGATTCTTGCCATGAACTCCTTTCTGCTGCGCAGATAGCTTCCTTTATATTATATATCCTCATAGGACTGAGAGAGAAACCCTCAGGTCTTGTCACCTTTCTAAAAAACAAAACAAAATTAAAAAACACTAATCCTATAATGGAGGATTCAATTTCAAGACCTCATTTAGAAATAACCACTTCTCATAGGCCCCAGTTCCACCTATACCCATGATACTCATCACATTGTGTATCATGCCTTCAACAAAAGTATTTGGGTGGGGGCATAAACATTTCTTACAAAATAGAGCTGGCAACCGAGAAGCTTTTTTGCTGTTGTTGCTGTGAGTTTAGAGAGGGTAGAGTGGTTGGATTTTAAATCCCATCTTACTACATCCTCAGACAGCAACAACCATCAATAGTTGTAACCCAAATCTCATCTACCGCCCTCCTTCACAGATGTCACAAAGCTTCACTAGATCTTTATCTACAAAAAAGCATGTATTTTGCTTATATTTTGATAAAATTGTATGCGATTTCAAAAAAAGTATTCAGAAGTAAAATCATAAATATTATTTAAAGATAGCATCTAATTCAGGAAAATATAATATTTAAGCTTTGGTATGTTAAAATACAAAAACTGCATTATCTCCTTTTACTATAGAGAACAGAAAAACTACCTTGTGAAAAAATTAGATACCTCTTAATAGGATTAGTAGTGGTTAGTAGTGGAACATACTAAAAAATGTATTATATTTCCTTACTCTGATTCTTTAAATCATATTCTGTGTTTTGACTTGACTTTCATTTATTAAAGAATTATTGAAATTATTATTCTGTTATTTTTCCCAAAGTTTCATATGCTCATAGGTGGGCTTTTAGGGAGGTGACTGGATCATGGGGCATGGTGCTCATCAGTGATGAGTTTATCACTAAATGTGATGTTGAGAGGTAAATCCAGGTTGAAGGAGATGGGTCAGTGGGATATGCCATGGAAAGGTGTATCTCCTGCCCTCTTCCCATGATGCCTATGTCTGTTTCCTGTTGCAACTATGTATTTCTCCTCTGCCATGCCACCCTTCCTTGGAGCCAGTTGACTATGGACTGAAACGTCTACAAACTGTGACCCAAAAATAAATCTTTCCTGCTTTAAATTGTGTGTCAGTTATTGTGTATCACCAATAAAAAATAACTAAGACAAAACCATGATTATTAATTCACGTTAATAATTATAAATTTATTCAAAATTAATTGCCATAAGTATGATATAGTGTTATTTTTTTGCTTAAATTCTTTTATTGGTACATTTTAGGTATACAATACATTTACATTTATTATTGGGTGCTTGTACCTGTACATGATGTATCTTGGTTCTTATTTTTCCCCCATTACCTGTGTGCCCTTCACCTCCTCCACCCTTCCCTATTTACATAGACTTTGTTCCCATTTTTTTCTTTTCTCATAATTTTTCCTTTCCCTTCTTTCTTTTCCCCTTCTCCTCCCACTTCCCCTACCCCTTTGAACCTTTTCTTCCTATTTCAAATTATCAATTATTCATTTGAATCGTTTTAATCCTTACTTACAATTTCAGTTTGTCACATTAGAGAAACTATTCAGTATTTTCCCATTGACCCAGCTATTCCCCTGCTGGGAATCTTCCAAAAAGAATTAAAAGAATCATACCCCAGTGATACATGTGCACCCATGTTTATAGCGGCTTAGTTCGTAATAGCTAAACCTTGGAAAGTGCCCATCAACTGGAAACTGGGTAAAGAAGATGTGTTTTTTTTTTATAAAATGGAGTACAACTCAGCCATAAAGAATGAGAAACTAGAGACATTTATAGCTAAATGGATGCATATTGAGGCCATACTCTTAAGTGAAATAGATATAGTGTTATTTTGGATTGGGGGCCATATTTTTTTTGTTTAGTAAATATAGTTGAATGAAATTATATTAGTTACACTTGTTTGAGCAAAATCTTTAGTACTTCTAATTGTTGAGGTTAATGAATAAAATCTAAGAATATCGTGCACTTAATTCCAAGTACTCACATCAAGATCTTCATTCTTAACCAGAAATAATATTAAAATTCTCTTCTTAAAAACTCAAGAATTTTTTCTCAAATATACACTGTAAAAGATTTTAAAGTATATATTCATAACAATCTTGAGAAAGAGGTGTTATACTCTTTTCACACCTGTCAAAACAAACAGGAAAGGGGTTAATGAATTTGCCTGTGGTTAAGCAGATGGTATACAGCTAGGATTTAAACCCAGAGCTCAATAATGCCACTCAATGTAAACATAAGATGTTGCCTCTCTGGATTAGTTGTTTTTATGTCCTTAAAATATTCTGTTTCTTAAAATTGTAAAGCGTGCACTTCTTAGACTCAAGTATATTGCACACTACACACCCTACTTCCAATACAATGTTTTTGTAAATGATGTAGAAATTCTAATTTCAAACAAAAGCTAATTTTGGACCCATCCTGTTTGCTGTTTCCAGAGCTAGTTCACAGGTGGAAGCAGATCCTTACATATCAACCATATCAACAACGCCAAACATTTTTTTCCAACACAAAAAGGGTTTGTCTACCTCCCTCCACCTTTGATCCCTTTGTCTGCTCCCTGGTGCCCCCAGCTCCTTCTCCTCTGTCATGCCCCTCCTGCTGTGTTTCCCTCCCTTGGAGCTAGCTGACTATAGAATGGCAGGGAGTACACCTAGAGCTGACAGTGACAGTAGCTTTGCTCTCTATCAAGACCTAAGGAAAGTTGTTAAGAATCTAGCATAATATGCTCAATATAAGGACACTTAGCTAATGATAATAGGAGTGAGGGCGAGCAAAGAGCCAGTGTGAATAATCATCGAAGTCAGAAGTTGAAGGTACATAAGAAAAAAGAAAGAAAAAAGGAGATGTAGGGAGAAATACAAAGGAAAAATGATGGAGAAGAAAAATTTCTGCAATGACTTAATTTTGGAAATGGTTAACTGTGAGGTATATAAAATTGCTCCTTTTTTTTTTTTTTAATGTACCAGAAACTTCAAACCCAAAAGTGGTCATGCACTTTTACTCTAGAGTAGTAGTTTTATAACTTGGCTGCCCCCAGTTAATGCTAAAAAATGCTAATGATTAAGCTCCAGGCTTATACAGTTTGATTCAAACCAATTTGTGATGAGACAGAAAAACCTACTTCCAGATTATAATTAGAAGTCAATTCTATGAAGTGTGTATAAATTTTTTCCTGGTGGCCTGGAGAGTTTCATCTGCATCTTTAATATTTTGAACATTGAGAAAGCAACCATTTTATTATCTCAAGGTTCTATCCTTCATTGGTTATCATCACAAAACTGTGCATATCCCATATTATGGGAATAAAAGTACATTCAAGGACTGTTTAGAGATCAATGTTATACCTCAGTGCTCATAAAGTTAATGACAAAATGCTTTAGCTTCAATTGCACCAATTACACTTAGCAAATGTGGCCAATGATAATGATTGGTTAAGAGTAGGTATTTCTATCTGTTTTACTTGGTTAACCAGACCTCAGTTATGTTAGTTCCATGGTAATAAATGTGTTTTGTGAAGTAAGTTTCAGGAAATGATCCATGAATAAACCAATTACGTAAACCAATTATGGTAATCCCATTCTCTTCTGCCAGTTACTGGTTTAGGATTGTGCACTGACCCATTTCTGACCAAAAGGATGATAGAGGAGCTCTTGCAGGACTTCTGGGAAAGATTTTTCTCCACTGAAAAATAAAAGAAGGAGGAGGAGGAGGAGAAGAAGGGGAGAGGAGGGAAAGGAGGAGGAGGAGGAGGAGGAGGAAGAGGAGGAGGAGGAAGAGGAGGAAGAGAGCCTGAGGTTCTACAAGGCCTCCTTTACTGTTTTTACTGTTTTGTGAATGTGGGTTTGTGAGAATTGTGATGCCTGGAGTTGACAGTGCTGGGAACTGTTATCACCATCTTGTAATTATGGAAGAGGTGTGACCAGTACATGAGGTCACAAAGAACTAACATTCCAAGGGCCATGGCCCTTGAGGACATTTTACAGCCTTTGGACCAGTCCTGCTGCTGCTTGTCTACGACCAGAAATCACAAATATTTTCACTGATCAAGTCATTTTCAGAAATGTTACATTTTATTGTACCTGAAACATTGATTTGCATTTTTCCCTTCCTAACAAGATATGTTTTATTACTTCTGATTCAGAATTTTAAAGCCATAGTATTCTCTCAGATCAATCCTGTACCAGATTAGTTTCTTTGTCTTTATTTTAGCAGTGTAGCAGTTTTACACTCACCTTTCAGCACATTTCCCCCAAGGGTCTTAATTCTTCTAACTGATGACTTCAGCAAGGGTTATTGAAATTTTCTTGAAGAGTTCTAGATTTAAAAAAAAACAGGAACCTGGTGTTTTCCATATGTGCTGATTAAAATGAGCATCAGACCAAGGTGAGTTTATTAAAAACAGCAAGAATTGTAGCATAGGAGAAAAAAGGGAACAGTAGGGAGCACAACAAAATTAAAATTAAAATTTAACCGAGCTGTGCTGTCAAAATCCAGTGGTTTCTGTCTATTAACTCCGGTGTAGAAAAGTGAGGAGGCCAAATAAAAAATATTATTTCTGGGGTCTGGGGACCGAAGAGGCAATGTAATTCCCGCTAGAGAAAATTAGTTCAGTTCGGCAGGGTCTGTATGCAAGCTGCTGGAGATGACAAGAGACAGAGGGAACACAGAGCTGATTAAGAAGACCCATCATTCCTGGATTCATGGAGCTCACTGTCTCAGGGAGGAGTGCTAGTGTACGATTAGTCAAATTCCCGCAGAGGTGCAGTCAGCGCTGCAATGCTACCAGATCCTGTACAGATCTCTGTCCTGCCAGTGAAGACCTTGAGACCTTGTCAAAGAGAACTCATTTCACAGTTTCAGTTACACATTAGAGAAAATAAGAGAACCGAAGAGGGGGAGATGAAGAGATATGTATGTAGTAACATCTGTAAACCATTTACTGTAGTGTCGAATACATCTATACATTTAAAGCACAAATATTTAAAGAATACATATATATATATATATAATATTACATGAAGAAAGAAAATGGCTAATTGTGTATCACAAATGATTGAAAATGGATTATTAAGTGTTCAAAACAGTGTTAAAATGGTCTTTGATTTAGGTATTTTACTTAGTTCAGTAAAGAGAAAATGACTAAGCAGAAACAACCAAAAAGAATACTGTCAGTTTTAATTGAAAACAGTAGCAAAGATTTTGTATTATTAAAGTGCAAGGAATTCTAAGACTTATAGTATTTCTTGTCTGTATCACAGCATTTCTAATTTCTTCTTATGGTAAAATTCTTTTTATATTCTCCTGTTAAATCAGTGTTTGCTTATGCTCTCAAAAGGCACTGGACACTGTCTGGAAACATTTGTTGCTATCACAATGGCCACAGATGCCACTTCTACCTACTGAATAAAGGCCAGGGATTCAACTAAATATTCTACCATGTCCAAAACAACCTTTCCACTCCACCCAACAGAAAATTATATGTCTTGAATAGCAGTGTAAAGAGTAAGAAATCCACTTTTAAATGCCCATTTTGTTTTTAAAGATAAGTGTTAGTGAGGGCTTCATTGTATGTGTGCCTGCATGCATCCATGCACAAGAACAAAGACACACAACAAACATATACATGTCCTATCGGCAGGCAAGTGGAAAGGGAAGGCAAAGAGGATCTTGGCAATCACCAAGTACAGTCCACTGTGTTTTTACAGTGCCGCATTTATTGTATTCAAATGGCAGATTTAAGACCAAAATCCAGGGTTTAGTGCTACTAAAACAAGGCATAATACCTGATTATTGCTTAAATTTCATAATCAGGATTAACTTTCTGTTTCATTGGGGTCATGACATACAAACTCAACTTTCTGAAAGAGTGGTAATATGAATATTAATATCATATTAAAAATACTTTTATTATATTTTATAGACTGGGATTCCTAAGAAGACAGCAAGATATTTATGATTATTTTAACATTTAGCCAATGTATAATTTGTAAGGTAAATAATACAAACATTATTTTAAACATAACATAATCTCTGTTTTTTGTCCTTCCTACTGATATCCTATAACAAAAGATTGTGTACTAACCCTTTAGACCTTATATATTGACTATATTTGCAACTATGATCATTCTGCAAGAGATTAGTTATTTTCTTTGTTAGGAGAATAAGTTCTGATTTAGAAGCAAAATCACCATAGGTAATATAACCTTGACATTCTTTTAAAATGTGTGTTTGTGAGGTGTGTGATTTCAAATGGTACAAAAGGGTGAGAAAATACCTGTACTCCACAGTGAGACAGTCTAATTCCTGGAAATGTGTCTGCAGGAAGCAACAGGTCCAAGTCACACAGGATTCTGACTCCTAGATTCATCATGAAATAAAATTTCTAACCGGGGGGAAAAAAAACAAACAAAAGAAATGGATAAGAGTCCACCTTACCATTACATCTATTGTTCCACTAAATGGCGAAATTGGAGAACAAGGGTAGATGGAGTAGAAGCAGTTTCCTAAAAGAATACTTTACAATAACAGGGAAAGAGGTGCTTAAAGATAAAAAGTAGAATCTACAACACAATTTCTCATGAATTCACCATGTACAGAATAAAAAGCAGATCAGTACTGCCTTTCAAATTGTAAAAATGATGGGAGGAAACAAGTAATTATATAAATTGCTAGGAAAAAGACAAGAAATATACACATTCGTTCAGATACTCAGATTGTCTGTAGAAATTGATTTAAATGTTGAAAGAAAAAGAGGTAATTGGAAAGTTAAATTTTAATACTTTGAGCTTCAGGCTATTATGAGTTTTGTATTTTGAAGTATGGCATATAATGAGTACCTAGTCTTTTGGAAACATTAGGTTAACATTCGGTTTAGGTAATGATTACAGGAATGATTCCAAGGAAGTAAATGTAATTTAGACAGTCTAATGTGCTCCATTCCATTTCTTTTCCAAAATGAGTTTCATTAGATTTACATTTGTTTACTGTCTGTTTTATCTTTATTTTTTACTGTGTGTACTATTCCTATGATTGGGGTCTTCTGAGAAGAGACTTTTTTCTTCTAAAGATATTGTTTTTCAAGAAGTTATTTTGAAGTCTCTCTGGATGGCAATTGTTCTATTTATCTGTCAAACAGCCCCTCAGGTGCTTTATTTATTTTTATTTTTTTGTGTATATGTGTGTTTGAAGATTTATATTAAAGACAGGTAAGGAAAGGCAATCTTTCTTTGTGGATTTTAAAGAATTTTTTTAGGTTCTTTGGCAAATCTGTCATAATTTATCCAACTTTGAACCACAAGGAAAATTATGTAATACCCAATTCAATAGCAATGTTTATTCTATAACCCTCTCCATAGAATGATCATTTTAAGATGACCTTCATGAAAATATAATAAAATGCATATCCTTTTCAAAACTCTGAAAAGTCTCACTAATTCAGACAAAAAGTAATTTTCATTAGAAATTTCAAATTTATATACATGGAATTATTGTTGAAAACCAAATGTCACACATTTTTTCTACAAATCAATTTTTATTATACATAGCTATATTTTCAGCATGCTCCTATTCAGCAATAAATACATGTATTATTGTTTATGAGAACGTGTTTAATTTTCAGTTTGATTTAATTTATATTAACCTCAGAAATTTATATACATGGAATTATTGTTGAAAACCAAATGTCACACATTTTTTCTACAAATCAATTTTTATTATGCATAGCTATATTTTCAGCATGCTCCTATTCAGCAATAAATACATGTATTATTGTTTATGAGAACGTGTTTAATTTTCAGTTTGATTTAATTTATATTAACCTCAGAAATATATTAAATGTAGTTTTTAAATTCATGCCTGAATTAAATAAAATTAGCAATGAAATTCATATTTTTTAAATGATGATATAACAATATCAGCTTGAGAAAACAGCATGTTTTCTAGGAAGCAAAGCAAACTTAATCTAAGTAGTTTAGAACCTCCATAATGACAATATATGTTTACCATCAATATACTACTAAATTTAAATCTCACAGTTTTCTAGAGAGTTCCAGGGTTAAGTAGGTACTAATAAGGTGAGAAAAGAGGTATTGCTTTATTAAGATTATGAAGGAATGTACATTGGACATAGCTATGAAAGAGTGCTACAGAGACATATTGTTTCATTTAGGGTGGTTTTATAGACACCAAGGAGCAATTTATTCAGAATCAAATGTGGCTTCTTCCACAGATGTGTCAAGATGATACACTATCTATCCAGTAGTAAACAGTATGGTTTGACACAGAAGGATTGTGGATGTGGCTAATTGAATTCTGGATCTTCGGGAGTAAAATAGATACACAGCAAGCTAGAGTAGTATTTTGCCTGTACAACAGGTAAAGCTAAAATCTTGTTTAACAGAAAGCAGATGTGAGTTACTCTTTTCTTGGAAACTTTAAAGGAGAAGTGAGGAATTGTCTAGATTTAGATTATCTTTAAAAAGAATTCATGGCTTATGGAAGATTTCATTTTTTTAAGCAGTAATTATCAAAGTATGGTCCCTTGTCCAGCAACATCAACATCACTTGTAAATTTGCTACCAATACAGATTCCCTGGACATAGCATAGACATAACATTTCCCAGTGTACTAACTATGTAACTCAGCTAAATTTCTTATCTTGGAGGTTGGAATGCAGGAAGGCCCAAGGTTTCTCTTCAGGTGGGGCAGTCAAACCTGTTGAATCTAAATAGCTGGAGGTGTGACTGCCAGATACCCTTTAACTTCATTTATATTCTAATTTGTGTACTAAATGATATACCTACCAGCTGTCATGACAGGAAGTACTAGATCATAAAAGGAGCAGAAAGAAGTG